TGAGAGTACCTTTTACTGTAAAGACTGACAGTACCATTTGCTGTAAAGACTGACAGTACCTTTTGCTGTAAAAGACTGGCAGTACCTTTTGCTGTGAAAGACTGGCAGTACCGTTTGCTGTAAAGACTGACTGTACCTTTTGCTGTAAAGACTGACAGTACCGTTTGCTGTAAAGATTGACAGTACCTTTTGCTGTAAAGACTGACAGTACCTTTTGCTGTAAAGACTGACAGTACCTTTTGCTGTAAAGACTGACAGTACCTTTTGCTGTAAAGACTGAGAGTACCTTTTACTGTAAAGACTGACAGTACCATTTGCTGTAAAGACTGACAGTACCTTTTGCTGTAAAAGACTGGCAGTACCTTTTGCTGTGAAAGACTGGCAGTACCGTTTGCTGTAAAGACTGACTGTACCTTTTGCTGTAAAGACTGACAGTACCGTTTGCTGTAAAGATTGACAGTACCTTTTGCTGTAAAGACTGACAGTACCGTTTGCTGTAAAGACTGACAGTACCTTTTGCTGTAAAGACTGACAGTACCTTTTGCTGTAAAAGACTGGCAGTACCTTTTGCTGTAAAAGACTGGCAGTACTTTTTGCTGTAAAAGGCTGGCAGTACCTTTTGCTGTAAAAGACTGGCAGTACCGTTTGCTGTAAAGACTGACAGTACCTTTTGCTGTAAAGACTGACAGTACCGTTTGCTGTAAAGACTGACAGTACCCTTTGCTGTAAAGACTGACAGTACCTTTTGCTGTAAAGACTGACAGTACCTTTTGCTGTAAAAGACTGGCAGTACTTTTTACTGTAAAAGACTGGCAGTACCTTTTGCTGTAAAAGACTGGCAGTACTTTTTGCTGTAAAAGACTGGCTGTACCTTTTGCTGTAAAGACTGACAGTACCCTTTGCTGTAAAGACTGACAGTACCTTTTGCTGTAAAAGACTGGCAGTACTTTTTGCTGTAAAGACTGACAGTACCTTTTGCTGTAAAGACTGACAGTACCTTTTACTGTAAAGACTGACATTACCTTTTGCTGTAAAGACTGACAGTACCTTTTGCTGTAAAAGACTGGCAGTACCTTTTGCTGTAAAAGACTGGCAGTACCTTTAGCTGTAAAAGACTGGCAGTACTTTTTGCTGTAAAGACTGACAGTTTAATTCCGCCAATATCACGACGGCCTTGAAATAATCGAGGATATTTCAGTGAGTAAGCCCTAAGGTTGCTTTGGTTGACCATATGTTATACAATAAAGGTATAAATTATCGTTATTTCCTCCTATAGTCGGAGAGTACCTTATGGACTATGTACAAAAGGGTTCTGAAATCACAAGCTTGACACAGAAAAGGAATTGTTAACAGGGTATAAGTCAACAAATAAGGTACTGCTTGTAGGTTAGATGAAATTCTTTGCCTACTACACATCAAGGCCCATTTCTTCAGAAACAGAAAAGGAACAAACCCATTCTATCCCAGCTAGCTGTCATTCAACGTATAGCTGCCCTACATGAAGAGTTTGTACATGTAGTTTTCCCCACTGGCAAGGCCTCGAAATACATAACCATCACTACATAATTGTTTGATCAAAGAACTTGCTAAATAAGTGCCACCTGTAAGGCCAGTATGTGAACTGAGGAAGACATCTGCCAAAACCAGGCATCAGTACTATAAACTTTTGACTCTAAAACCTGAAGACACGTCCATTCCTCTTTTGACCTTGATTCCAAAGCTCCATAAAGATCCGTACAAAGAGAGATATATTGCTGGATCGGGCAAATGTACCATTAACTCATAATCCTTAATACACCCAAGGAAGGATTGTCTTTCTATTCAAAGAAAACATTTGAGACAAGTGGAATTAATACCATGTGGATCAATGACATAACGGTCTTACTTTCGAAGAGTCACAAGCGGCGAAGTTGTCCAACGTCAGCATGATAAGCCCGAATATTGATCAGACGAAACAGCATTGAATACACGGGTAAGTTTAGAACTTCCAATTAAAATGTAAAGATGACGATTGCTCTTGTTTGTAAACTATCGGATTTGCAGGTATTGAAACACAATAAAGAATCAATGCTCACCGATTCACATTGCCGTTTTTGTAGTGTGTCATGTCCTGGAATTTGGCATCGTGGTAAAGCTGTGATGAGACTAAACATATTCTCAAGTGTTATAAGTCACGTCAAAGAAATAGGATGAATCTATTTAATGAGCAACGGAGATATGATATTTCCATCGATAACTAGATTAAATACGTATTTAATACCTAATACTGTTAGAAACACCAGTATAATGACTACCATACATTTTTTTCTCTTCTTTTCTTCATTGATCTACGTACTTGGGGTCTTATCAGTTAAGTAAGACAGTAAGATATAGACATGGGTACAACGGTTCTTCGTACGCCGGTAGCGTGAGCTGAACTCGCTCAACTGCGCCTGGTTTTTCTGGTTTAGGGCTGATTACCTTGGTTCCTACGAAAGAATGATGCCTGTTGGTCATAATGTGTCAACACCCCAATATGGTGTTTTAACTCATTTGTTTTTTAAGCACTACTTGGACATTGTTTTCATTTCTACATTCCATAATACCATTACCACACTTCAACAGACTACATGTAGTGGAATTTGTCATAAACAAACGCTTTTGACAAATACATGTAGATGGCGTTTTCTTTACCTTAAACTACGTTTAGTTTGGTCAGTGTGGCCAGTTATGGGCTAAAGTTAGGAATTCCAAGTTGGGCCACATTTCTACTGTCCAATAGATTCGGAGGAAAATCACATTCGACTTTTAACATGGACCAACGATGTTCAAACGAATGATATGACACGTGAGCATTCATGTATTAAAACACGTTTTCATGATTTTATAATCTCCCAAAACAAATATCTCGTTTTGAGAATGGCCAACAAAACCGATTTATGTTTTTTTGTCCGACATACGAATACATAGGTCACAATGCATGTTCTGACCACGCCCGGAATATATCCTTACTCAAATTGAGTGAATGGTAAAATGTGTTTATCGATGATGCCTATATTTTCAGCGATAATTATATATTCCTCAATATACTCTTGTTTTGTCTCCATTCCCGCGCAGTGAATTGAAGGAATGAAAAGAAAAACATGTTCTCATGTTTCAAAACTAAATTAAATCAACAGTTAATCACCCTAGTTTCATTGAAGACAATCCGTGTTGTTATAGAAACAGATATGGCGTAGTACATCCCTTGAAATTATTATAGTAGCTACCCTTCTTTGAACAGGCTAAGCACAATTTGCTTCAGTGACATATGCATGACTGGTTCCCGTTATTCCAACACTCTGACACAGGTCTGGCGTTACTCGATGCAGACTGTAGTGTGAAATTGAATGATTGACTCCAACACTCCAACACTGGTCGAACACCGGTCTAGCGTAACTCGATGCAGACTGTCGTGTGGAATGGAATGATTGACTCCAACACTCCAACACTGGTCGAACACCGGTCTAGCGTTACTCGATGCAGACTGTCGTGTGGAATGGAATGATTGACTCCAACACTCCAACACTGGTCGAACACCGGTCTGGCGTTCCTCGATGTAGACTGTCGTGTGGAATTGAATGATTGACTCCAACACTCCAACACCGGCCGAACACTGGTCTTGCGTTACTCGATGCAGACTGCCGTGTGGAATTGAATGATTGATTCCAACACACCGACACCAGTCCAACACCGGTCTTGCGTTACTCGATGCAGACTGTCATGTGGAATGGAATGAATGACTCCAACAATCCAACACGGTCCAACACTAGAGTTGATACAAACTGCTGTATAAAATGGCATTATTGAGTTTGATATCAGTGCATCCATGTATCAGTGAATCTGAGGTTTAGATGTTCACAATGTGGTAGGTCAGATTAATCAAGTGCCTGTACACTGTAAATCTTGAAAATAATGCGTCTCCAAATGAATTGCATTCACTAAATATTCCATAGTATATTCTGTACATGAGTTTCTCATAGTATGGTGGAAATGTATAGTGAATGTGCTTAATATTGAATAAAGAAACTTTATGGGCACTTATCACAACTTCTGATGTTTAAATATAATATTTTCAGTTGTCTTTGGATAAATATATTTTACTGCGCTTCACTAAATATGACAGCTAGATTTATCTCCCTTAGACGGTTCAGTAACTGCAAATATGTGTATGACTATCCTACACAGAATTGGGAACATTTTCAATCTTTCAAGGGTAAGACAGAACAAAACATTTCAGTCCCTTTATAACTTTCATAAGAATGTTGTCTACAACTATAAAATAGGACATTTCCAGTGTCTGAAATGGCCCTTATTCTAAATGGTCGTTCGCATTTGCATCTTCTCAGTAAATAGCAACGCCATAAAGAGGACACCAGTCGCCATGATTGTCAAACATACAGACGTCGGAAACGTGTTTCAGAGTTTTTGTATTTTGCCGCAAGTAATCTATTAAATTGTCAGCTCAAGCTGTTGTTCACCGATTGCATATTTTGACATTTACAACACCTCAACTCAACAACCATTCTGTATTAAAAATAACTTTAATCAATCCAAACTGCCAAACGTTCATGCTGGAACACAAAATCATCATTATCAATGGAATAGAAAACGTTGTTGTACTGTTATGAGTGTCAATGCCGAAGTTCAGCATTAAAGATCTAGAGTCACTTTGTTGTAACCTATATACCGAGTCCTAGTTGGTGAAGTTAACTATACTTGTGCTGTATTGTTTGTTTGTTGCTTAACGCAACACTCGGCAATATTCCATCTTCGTGGAGCCTATCTGTAAGTAACTGCGTCTGTACCAGACAATCCTGTGATTCATGTCATGAGCACCGACCCACGTAATTGGGATAGGATAACATGCAATCAACCAAGTCACCGAGCCTGACCACCTGATCAAGAATAGGGGACCAATAATCCTACCCGGAATCACCGCGGCTGTGTTTGAAATGTATCACCTATGTATCACAATCACCTCATCCTCCATATTTATTTATATTATTCACAGTAACAGGAACATTGAAACCTACACTATATATCAGTGATTTACATAATATATGGGAAAAATGTGAAACATAGATGCATTATAGATCTATCTAACATGTCCAACGATCACATACAAAAACTTTGTTGATTTGTTCATATGGTCCTCTGACATTGTTTATGTTCTTGAAATGTAAACACACAAACAAATACACGATTCTACAAAATAACAAACACATGTAGTTCGTAAAAGGCAAGGTTTTTCAGTCCAGTCTCCACTTAATAAGTGCAGTGAAAAACCTTAACCTCACTTGACATACACACATACATACACCCACGCCCATCTAGACACACACCCCAGGGATCCTGAATACCATCCTGTGATGTCAGTATGTTTCTCACAAATTCCCCCGACTCAGTCAGATTGATGACTCTGTGCTGGTAGAAATCTGTCACCAGGATGTCATCTGTGCTGGTACTTGTGATACCACATGGAAATTTCAGTGTTGTGTCTCCTGGAGGGCTGTAGGTGAACACCACATCTCCCCCGGGGGTCAGACAAACAACACACTTGGATTCACAGTCAGTCACAAGGATGTCTCCTTTCCTCGTAGTACAGAGGAAGTTGGGGCACTGTAATATGTTGTTGGCATTGTGGAGTGGGCTGATTGACCTCAGCACGTGTCCCGACATATCCAGGATATCAACACAGGGAGGAGACTGGGAACCTGCTGCTAGTGTTGATGACGTCAGAGACGTTAAACCGATGTACCGTTTGTTGGTTGTGATGGTTGACAGCAACACCAGGTCAGGGTTGACTTCAACTGTTACAATCTGGAAGCTATTTGGCACAGTGACAGCTACCTGGTTGTGTTTCACTTTTGTCACACCGTAAGGTCCGCTGCTCAGACTGAGCTTACTGTGGCATGCCTTGTTATTCCTGGTGTAGAAGGACTTCACATTTGTGTTGTTATAGTCTGTGACTACAACTGTATCTGTACCATTCACAACAAGTACTGTGACATCAGTGGCATCTACTGCTTTTCCGTCTCCTGCTACTCTGACGTTAATTGTGTCTTGTAACACAGGAGTCGCCTTTAGGTTCAGTGCACCTTCACACAAGACGTATATCTCACCCAGCTGTAGATCGTCCAGTGCTCTACTCAGCTGGTCCGTGTCCTGTCTGAACATGATGCTGGCTATTCTCCCCTTCTCTCTCAGGTCTGCATTCCTGACAGCATCCACATCACCGGCCTCGCATCCCTGATACATCTCATACACATCCATATCACACTCAGACTGTAGAGTCTGGTCTATCAGCTCCGCCTGTTGTTGGTACATCTGTACTGACAACTCTCCTGACTTTATGTCTGCTTTTAATTGCCTTATGTAATTGTCTGAGATTTCTTTCAGTTCATCAAGAAGTTTTCTTTCCTTGCGTTTGATCATATCAATTGCTTTCTTAGTGGTAGACTTGATGTCTGATTCCATTTGCAAATAACGCGTTGATTCTTCTTTGGATCTTGTTTTCTGTTTGTCAACGAGAGCTTCTATCTCATCATATTTCTTCATCAAGTTGTTTTTATTCCTGGTCAGTTCTGATTTCATTGAAGGTATTTCCTTTTCAATGTCAACAACGCATTTACAATTTCTGTGATAAATAATACAACATGTTTGACAAACTGCTTTCTTGCAGTCTTTGCACATCAGTTTAATGTCTTCATCTTTGTGGTCCTTACACATAACTCGTCGCCTTCTTCTGACCTTGACCTCTCCAGACATGTCAACTACGTCATGGTGACGTGAGGATGGGTTTCTATTGTGCATCCGCAAGCATCGTTCACAGAGGGCGTCGTCACAAACAGAACACCAAGAGGTAGCAGGAGTTGTCTCCCCTTCCTCCTTACAATAACGGCAGTAGGTCGTGTCTGAAACAATAAGAAACCCATTATTATACCATTTCATTTAACAATAGTAAAATACGGTTTCATGTATGTGTTTTTCAAGGAGCAAATAGTACACATATTTAGTGTGGACGAGCGTACGTAGTACTAGGATTAAAGTCGTTTAAGACAACTGGTCATATGTTGTCCTGTCCAAGACTTCCTGACACATCCACGGAACATTACACATTTAGAATATGTTCAAATGACCGTATTCACGCTCACCTTTAGATCCAGGGCCGAATGAGTCCAGGAGTCCCTGGATGACAAACATAGGCTTGATGTCATCCGCCCACTCCTCCACTGGCTTCTCAGGGAAAGACACTTTCGTCATCTTGCTGCAGAATGGACACAGGAGAGACTTGGCACTGATGGCTTCTGGTCTGGTTTTGGTGAAGCTGACGACACATTTCCGACAGAAGGTGTGATTACACACAAGTGTGCATGGCTTGTCAAACACCTCTGTACATATTGTACATGTCAGGAAGTGTTCTGTTAACTTCTGAGAGGTCGCCATCCCAGCTACAAAAATAAATCAATCATTTAATTTCTCATGAAAAAAACAAATAAATGCATGTACATGCCAGTATATTTTGAAACGAAACTGCGTTTATGTTTATAAACATGTTAAACAAACATATACAGCATAATGGTTCCCGATTGAATGTAGTAAAGACAAACAGACATCACACGATATGAATATGAACAAAGACTTAACATGTGTGATATGATATAAATAATAATACAAAGTCAAGGCTAGACGCATACAGTGTAGTCTAATGTACATTGTAGTGTATTTATTACTTTTCTAAGATGTGGAAGTTAAGACTAACCTTGTGTTTTATTAGAGATGCATTTAACAGAAAACTGTTATAAACGACGCCATCAATTCTAAATCCTCGAAAAGGCTGGGCTGATCCAATTAATTGCCTGCACTCTCACGTTACAAATGTGTAGATCAGGGTTAAATAAGTCAAATGATAATATCCGTATTAGTGTGCTATTGTTCAAAATCCCTAACAGCAATAAGTAAGATTTAGATGTGGTATTTATAATGATTATCAATTGGTTCATTTTAATTACGTGGCGGGGCAGTGGGGTAGCATTCTGGTTAAAGCGTTCGCTCTTCACGCCAAGGATCCGGGTTCGATTCTCTACATGTGTACGATGTGTGAAGCCCATTTCTGGTGTCCCACGCTCTGATATTGATGGAATATTGCTCAAGCGCCGTAAAACCATACTCACTCACTAATCACGTAACACTTTACATTCCACAAGTGCATTGTGGGCCGAGCTTACGTATTTGGTCATGGCCGATGTCCTGTATCGCTGGTGGAAATGTTGAAACATACGTGTCCACCACTTATGACAGTGGACTGGAGTGTTACTACTGATGGAGTCCCATGGCTGTGAGGAGTCAGGCAATACATACTTTTTTATGCACATTGTGTGAATTAGGTGCTACCGGTAGGGCAGGACATGCTTATATTTTACGCGAACAACTGGTGTCATCACTGATTTTCAGTGGTCCATCCATATAATTTTCACTCCTATTTTGCCTGTTTCATGGGATAATCAAGACTGGTCATTCTCTTGCATTGACGTTTTTTATTTACCGAGTTGGTTGCACGATGTGATAGCGTACCAATCAATAGCAACTGACGTTAATCGACAGTTTGGCATAAGTACCACTACCATGCAAAGTCGGCCTGGAAACAAACCACATAATCAAGTGACAAACGTCATGACGTCGTCACAGCATGACGTAAATAAAAAGTGTTAAAGTAATGTCGTCGCCTTTGATCTTTTAGTAAAGCATCTCAGAAATTTACTTTCAAAATGTTCTTTTTGCAATCAGCTTCACAAAGACTGCATTTAATGTTCCCAAACTTGTTTGAAAGAAGCAATAACGGCATTTTGTTGCTTCCAAAGGAAACATGCATGCTGCATGTTTTTATTCATTCGGTCAGTATTTCAAATTTGACTTTCAGTCAGGTGAACTAAACACACTTAAATACACCTTCAATAAATGTTATTTCATGTTTATAACATGTCAAATATATATATTCAGCAGTTATACCAGGTGAACAATTGACTAGCCTTTGCATGTGTTTGTGACGAGTGCCACGGGTGGAGCAGGTTATGCTCATCGTCCTTTCGCAAACATTTGGTATACATCGTCACTACTTGAGAGTGATTCACGTGTTCGTGATATAATTCTACTCGTACAATGGAGATTTCTTATGAATATAGAAAGGATTTTGTCGCTTTTATAACGACAAGAGGATATAGATGCAGTTGATGAAAGAAAGTATGAGGAGTTCTCTGAATATATTCCCAGACAATGGGCAGGACGAAGGCCTGCACAACCAGCGTGTTCATGTGATGCACTTACATACACCATCAATAAGTTAATAAATGTTACTTCATATTTATACCATGTAAAATATCGATATTCAGCAGTGTAAAAGAATATAGAAACGGCCTTATAAGTGGTGCAGGGAAACTTCTAGTATACTCCATACATGAAACTGGCGAGCTGCGAAATCATAGCCTTTGTACTGCTCACGTTTTCCTATCTGACTTCAACAGGACGCCAATACATAGCTACCACTCCTGCCTTCATAACGTTCTACTTAAGCCCGATGCTGACCTTCCACGAGCCTTCACAAGCCATACCCATCGAAATATTTGGTGAACTTAAAGATGAACTAGTGACTAGTAGATATCCGATAGTAAAACGGAACAACACGCAGATAAACTGCATGAATAAAAGTCTTAAAACAAACGACCAAGCAATGATATAGCTGTGCGGTGTTGCTGCCCATGAAACCAATAATTGAGTTAGAATCCTGGTTCGCCTTGATAATGTTTCTAGTTTTTGCCATCACCATACCCGTGATGGTCGGTTTTAAAAAAACGTCTAAGACTTGCATCAAATCGGCTGACACGCTGTAAGTTAACTGAAAGACTGTTCAAAGCCAACTCACTCACTCACTCACTCAACTCTTGGTAATCAGGTATTTCACATGTCATCAACAGTTTTAATACAACATAGTCAGAATTTACAACAAAACTCTAGATTGTGTTTGCTATACTATCCTGATATAAATACAACTGCCTGGTGGTCTACTGTGTATTCAGCACAGAGCGTGACAGACATATCGACGGGGTATTTGTTGATATCTATAAACAGCTCGTATTATATACTCGAACTGTGTGCACACTTATCGACAACGTGACATAGCTCAGGCGTGACATCATCTCATTACCATAACGAAAGTAGAACATGTTAAACCCCATATTGGTCCCCATACATCGTGTCAATAATTTAATGTACAGCGTTCACCAATGTGAAATGTGCCTCATGATATGACGTAGGTATGCTAGAGGCAACTACAGTTACCATTCTTACTGTACATAGAAATAACTATGATTTCTACTACTGATCACTTGACAAACATGTATAGCTATGTGGTTACACTATCTCTCCACCATAACGAAAGAAGAACTTGTCTTTACCTCTTGCCATATCGTATCGATGGATTGTGAAGCAGTCAGTCAGAATGTAATGTGTCTTGGGGTATAATGATGGACATGGCCAAACAACTAAAATAATTCAGCAATGGACAGCAATGTAGCACTGTGATACTCGTTGATGACAGCCCTAGTGACAGACTACACACTTACCTGAGGCAGTCAGCTTTGAATTCAAAACCGGTGTTGAGGGAAATTGTGCACAAGGGCGGTCACAGCCTAGCTGAGCCAACGGTAAGTGTTCGCTGTACATGTATTTGGATATGACTCGCCCATTTGATAATCTTTTACAAAGTAGTTCGTGTGTGTGTGTACGTGTGCGTGCGCGTGCGTGTACGTGTGCGTGTGTGTACGCGTGTAAGTGTATGTATACGTGTGTGTGCGTGTGTACGTGTTTGTGAGTGTGTGGAGGGTAATTTTTTGTAAGTGTGAGTGTATGTCCGTGTGTATGTGTATGTATGCGTGTGTATGTGTATGTGTATGTGTGAGCTTATGCGCGTGTGAGCGTGTGTGTGTATTGGTCAATGGGGAGGGGAAGGAGGTATTTTATTTCATAGAATGTCATTAAAGCCTGGTTGGGGACACGTGTTGCCGAGTTGCCTTAGGACATCAGTAATACATGATCAGACCCTAAACAAGTTTCAATTAATAAAGTTGAAGCAACATTCAGTAAATTAACATCTTCATATCATAAAATACATGTGCTACATTTTACAATACCGTTACGCCACTTATACAGACTATACTGTAAAAAAATGTATTTATAATGTAAACACATACAGGACATGTTTAGATCCAATCATGTTAGGAATGTATTTACATCCAAACCGGAATAAACATTTGCTGTGTTCTATCTAAACAATATTAGGGTCCAAACACATGAAATGAGCTTAAACCACTTAAACACAACAACCGCATAATCTAAACATGTTTAGAATTGTTTAAAAATATATATACTATATATTGAAATTACATGCGCAAATCAGATTGCATAACTCATATACCACCAGGACTTACAACCAACGGGGAACAATATTAACAAAACAAATGTTCAAATAAACCAAGCTGGATGAATGGTGACGAGGAAAGCTAGCATCTCTGAAGACAACAGTCTCCGTAGCACAGGTGGTAACGTGAAGGCCAACAAATCAGAGGTTGCAGGTTCGCATCCCGCCGAGATTTAAAATGTGCTGTGTTCATAAATGTATTGTTGCTGTGTGACTCATGGTATTTCTCTCATACAGGAAAGCTAAAATACTGATAAAGAGAACCCCTTTTAGAAAATACCTGCAGTAAAGGTATACGTATCAAGGTTTCAAGTGGGGGTACGGGTCTATCCCACACTTTAACTCACAACGCGTTTAGCTGTTGAACAGAATGCTAAACATGGCAAAAGTATGTGATAAGGAAAGTGATGGAATTGAACACACGTGTTTACAGTGTAGCTGTGGAATTCGTAGTAAACAAACACCCTTGACAGTAAAGGTAGTTCTTACATGGAGTGCAGGAGCTTAGCCAGTTGGTAACTGATGTTAGGAATTACAATTTGGGCCACATTTCTACTAAGATCTATCCAAAGGTCATTATGAGTGAAAGGCTTACTCTCTCAGTATGACCAACGAGAAATTGTAGAATTGGTTTATGAGCGACATGCGAATACACAAGTCAAAATAAATTGTCTGTCCACAAGGGGAATGTGTCTTTACGTGAACAGGGTGCATGACAAATTGTTGTTTTTCTGCCGTAGTGATTTTTTGCAATGGTATGGCGGTCGTCGATATATAATGTAAAGCTGTACCAGGACAACTGGATGTTAAGGATAACATACATTAATACACATATAGGATTGGATTTATAAAGACTGAACAGTGAAAATGCCAAATCTAAATTTTGTAAAGGGCTTTACTATTACAACTGCGTAACGAAATATAATCGTGAATTAAAAACGTGAATCTAGTTTCATTGAACACACTGTTACAGAAACAAATATGGCACAGCACATCCCTTACAATTATACCAAATTTATTTAGACTGAGAGCAATTTGCTTCAGGGACATATACATGGACTGGTTGCCCGCGATAGTAACAAAAGTACATATTAAACAAAATAGGAATTATTCTCAGGTATTAAAAGTAATAAACTTGTAGTTAAGTACCTATATGTTCGGTATATTTCAAAGGTATCTTAAAATGCTGGAAACTGTTTCAGCATTAGTATGTGGAGAAAATAGAAACATTATGTCATTTCAGGTGTTGATTGTTTTTTTGGCTTCTTGTGTATAATCACCCTTCAAGTATTGTGTCAACTTAATGATAAAGGATTACACTATGACCAATTTAACAATGCGTAATTCTGAATTTGACGCCTTCAAACAATGAACTAACGTTTCTGTAATAACGTTAACGTAATATTCTCCCCCCCCCCCCCCCCCTCCTTCATGTCCGTGTCCCCGACAGCCTCCGACCTCACATCCCTGTCAGATCTTACTACTCTTTGTCATCTCATTACCACATGTTTTGTTTCAATGAGCTACCTGAATGTATATTCATAACTGAGAATCGATCACGTCATGACAGTCCCAGCTGTCTTTGACAGTAAGATATTCTGCAGCACATTGCAAAAAGTACAATGCATACCACAACTTGATCTTACACCTGCTTCTTTAGTGCATGTTAAATGTGTGTTTATATTGCTAGGTACAGAGTTAGGTAGTAGTGCACACCCTCGTTCTGCCATCGTCCTTCTTTCTGTCAATGAGAGAACACAACTGATGCATACATAGCCGGGCGTGTAGAGGGGAGGTGCCTGGACCGTGCATCAGAAGGAGACTTACATGGAGGAACTTATGTGTACACTGTATACAGGCGGTTATCTCCTGCTGTATGTACAGACATGGGTAAAGAAATACACTTTATGTTGAAGAAAACTTCAACTAGAACAACACCAGACTCCAACACCGATCTGACGTCACTCGATGCAGACTGATGTAAGGAATGGTATGCTTGAGTTTGGTGTCAGCGCATCAGTGAATCTGAGGCTTAGATGTCTTTAGCCACCTGTCACAACTACTGGTGTTTTATTATTCATTTAATACACAGCTCCAGTTATCTCCCTTAGACCGCTCAGTTTCTGCACATGTGTGCATACTTTCAAATAAACGTAATGACATTTTCAATCGTTCAAGTGCGGATAAATAAAAGCTAATTGTCAGTTATATAAACAAGTCGGATAGCTTTCAAAACAAAGATTCTACAGTTTCATTATTTTTGTTTAGTTTAAGTCCCTTCAGCCTCAAACTGCGACATTTCCAGCACCGTTAAATGACCCTTATCCTGCATGATCCTTTGTATTCATAGCTTGTTAGTGAACAGCAACGTCATAAAGAGGACACAGGTCGCCATGGTTTCTGTTTTCAAATATACCAGCAGAGGCCAGAAACATACGAAAATGTTTTTCATTCTGCGGCAAGTAATCTATTACTTTGTCAGCGCCTCCTGTTGTTCATCAACACCATCTTCCAACACACATATTTACAACTGGGTCTCCTCCACTATCAATGTGTTCACAAAACTCAATTCCAAAACATCATTACATGTACTATATCAATGCAATGTCAGATGTTGTAGTTGTATTTTGTCATTTAAAACTGCAATACCTTGAGTCTTTGCAATCAGCAATATTCCATCCGTATGACACCGGTGTATAAATAATCGAATCTTGACCAGAAAGTTATCAATAGCATCGACCCACACAATAGTGGGAAACGATGACATGCAACGACTCACCGAGCCTGACAACCCGATCCATTTAGTTGCATCTTACAAGACGTATTGGTTGATGGGTGCCTGCATACTCAACTGGAATCCCAGTGGGTTTGTTGGCACTGTAAATCATATATCAAAATCCCAATATCCCCTATACATTTATTGAAACTAGTCACTGTAACTGGAATACACAGACCTGTACCATATATTTAACAAATCATTACAAATGTCATTGGCATATACAACATTTTGTTTCAGGACAGACATGTGAAAAAGGGATACTTTATTAAGAGACTATCATGTCCAACAACCACATACCAAAACTTAGTTGATTTGTCCATATGATTCTCTAATATAATTCATGTTCTTTTACTGTAAACACATAAACAATTATGAATACACAATGCCATTTAGAAAGTGGTCAAATGTAACTGATGTTATATTTGGGATAACACTTTCTTAGTAAAGTACAGATTCTAGTACTTTTTTGGGTTGAGTCCCGTCCGGGATTCGAACCCACACCTGCCAGGGTGAGGAACCTAATCGCCAGCACACATTTTTGTGGAAGCCTCGGTGGCTGAGTGGGTTAGATCACTGAATTTGTGTGCTGGCGATTAGGTTCCTCACCCTGGCAGGTGTAGGTTCGAATCCCGCACGGGACTCAACCCAAAAAAGTGTCTGTACTTTACTAAGAAAGTGTTATCCCAAATATAACATTAGTTACATATAAACAATTGTTGTGGCGCAATACTCAAATTTCAAATTCAACCCTGTACAAATACATGTAGTTAATTTAAAGCAATATTTTTCGGTCCAGTCAGCCTATAATTAGTGCAGTGAAAACGCGTTAACCACACGTGACGAGCACACATACATACAACCACGCCCATCTAGACAAACACCCCAGGGATCCTGAATACCGTCCTGTGATGTCAGTATGTTTCTCACAAACTCCCCCGACTCAGTCAGATGGATGATTCTATCTCGAGAGTTGTCTGTCACCAGGATGTCACCTGTGCTGGTACTTGTGATACCACATGGAAACGTCAGTGTTGTGTCTCCTGGAGGGCTGTAGGTGAACACCACATCTCCCCCGGGGGTCAGACAAACAACACACTTGGATTCACAGTCAGTCACAAGGATGTCTCCTTTCCTCGTAGTACAGAGGAAGTTGGGGCACTGTAATATGTTGTTGGCATTGTGGAGTGGGCTGATTGACCTCAGCACGTGTCCCGACATATCCAGGATATCAACACAGGGAGGAGACTGGGAACCTGCTGCTAGTGTTGATGACGTCAGAGACGTTAAACCGATGTACTGTTTCCTGGTTGTGATGGTTGACAGCAACACCAGGTCAGGGTTGACTTCAACTGTTACAATCTGGAAGCTATTTGGCACAGTGACAGCTACCAGGTTGTGTTTCACTTTTGTCACACCGTAAGGTCC